CCTTCATTACTTGCCCAGCATGCCATTGTGGCCTTGATCTACAATGCTTGAATAATTGCACACGTCAGACTTTTTTGCTGATGACATGTCAGCAACATGCTATGTGTTGTCAATGTTTCCAGGAAGCTGTCATAGAAAGTATGTGTCTCTACTGCGTGGACTATCCCTGGTGCCATCATCCGCCACACCCTCTCCTGGCATGTCCCACATGTGGTGTTGGTCATACACCTACTGCAACCACACCCGGAATTCCTTCTTCCTTGCCTGATGAACGAAGGGCTCAGCAGCCTGAGGAGGAAAATAGATTACCATATGAACCACCTACAGAGCGCTGTACTGATAGGTTGTCTCCGAGAGGGCGAGCTGTTGCAGACCAAGTCCCGGAGCAGCTGAACGCCCTTGCTTTGGATCAATCTCCCCCGTCGTTGTCTACCCATAGAGAAGGAATAAATACTGAGGAAACCCAAGAAACTTGCTCCATGCTGCTTTGTGATGACCCACCGGAGATTCAGCTAGCATGTGGTTCACATGCCTTATGCCGTGAGGATTATGAAGGGATAGCCCAGGTGAGCTTTGTCTTCATGATGACAGTCTATACTGCACTCATGAACGGCACCCTGACATGTCATGTCCAATTTGTAGACGGGCTGGAACGGCAATGCCTCTACAATTGTGGTCAACGTGCCTCTGTGCTCCTAGCATGTAGGAGCCACCTAGCCTGTGACATCTGTCTACGCTGCGCCATTCGATGCAGAAACTGTGACTGTGAGAATTGGCTGCGGTGCTTCCACAGGCCACACCCAAACTGCTCCTGCCCGGTCTGTAGAGGTGGCCACTTACCATAGACAACAACTGCTCCTCAAATCTTATGCAACCCACACACTGACTGGCCTCGTGTGCCATTCTAGAAAGGTCTGCCCCAGCGGTCACTATTTGGTACCCTGTCACAACTCCACCTCCCATTTCCTTCCTCCCTCCTCTTGTGTATTACTAGTAATACATACGAATGAGCATCATTACGAGAACAGACAAAATGTAAGTTCAAGATCTGAGAAGACATGAACAGGAATATACCTCCGCCTTTGCTTTGTGCAAGGAAAATGAGCAATAGCAAAATGACAGAATTCCGAATTGCAAAATCACATTGAAAGCCAGATAGTCGAAAGTTGTCCGGAAAGCAGAAATGCACTGATGTTACACCAAAGGAGAGCCAAAGCGGCGAACTCAATTATCAATGAAAGCAACTCGCCACCACCAACAATGTAATTGAAGCTCTTCCTCCTACTGGCGCTCAGCGCCCAGACTACTATCACACAGCTACACTACTCGCCTTCAAAATAATGAAGCAACCAGTTGATGTCAGCAGCAGTAACTAAAGTAAATGCAAATGTCGACCAAGACCTCCGCCTAAACCAGGTACGTGCCCTCACATCATCTCCCTCACTGGCCCTCTCCTGCTCATCATCGTCTTCTCCTCCCACGGCTCTACACCAACCGAAGACCACGGCTGAACCCCACCGACCTTCTCCAAGCCCATGCCCGGCTATGGGGGATGGCTATGGCGCTGCCCTCTTGCAGCGTCCTACTTCCACCGATGCCCACGCGCGCCCAGTCACTCACACTAGCGCAGCAGCATGCGAGGGATTGCTCCAGCAGCGCTGCTGCATGCACTCGCAAGTGCCAGAATGAATGAATGGCAGGCGGGCAATTTCCTATATAGAAAGTGCTTGCCTGTGCTAGCTGCCTGGGCCTGGCGACCGTGCGCCCAGTAGCTTAATGCCGGGCCAAAGCGTCTGCGCCCAGGCCCATTCAGACAGTGGCCTGGGACTGAATGGTTAGGTGTGCCCAACCACCCAGGCACAAACGTGTGGTGTTCCCTCATTACCCTGCATGGCTGGAAAAGCCTAGAAGGCTCACAAAGATTTCTGATTCTCACGTGCAGGACAGATGTAACCAACTGGTGCATGGCAACTGTCTGGCACCCACCAATGCTTTGCAAATTTTACGAATCCAGGCCTCATTGAGATTCAGGGGCCCGCCTTCACTTAGGGCAGGCACAAGCTTGCTTACGGGGGCCATATGCAGGTATGGCGAGGGTTCAAATCCGCACACTCCCTCCTCCTTTACTTCGATAGTCCTCTGAGAAGTCTTCAGTCAGCAGGCTGCTTCCCTTTTAATCTTCTCTCATATCCTGAGATAACCTGCTGAGCAATCTTCATTAGTTCTTCACTTGTGAACCGCACTCTGTACTGCACCTGCGGTTTGGGGGGACGTCCCCGGCCTGGAGGCTTAGGCACAGGCATCAGCTTGTGCTCAATGATATCGTCAATGTCCACGTGTCCGTCCATGGTTGGGGGCAGCATAGATCTCCTTGATGGAAATCTGTCGGTCTCAGCAAAAGGAGCCAGTTTGGAGGCGTGAAAAACAGGGTGAGTATGAAGGTAACCAGGGATTCGGACAACATAAGAGGGTCCGTGCTGTGCATCCCCAACTATGTCTAAAAGTTCATGAGGTCCAAAGTACTGATGACTTAACCCAAACTCTTTCTCCCACCTGAAACGTTGACGGTCGTTTGTGCCTGTTCTCGGATGCACCATGGCATCATGAGCTTTCTTTATATGCTCGACAGCCTGCTGCAGAAGCTGTTCATACTTGACAGCTAATTCTGCGCTGCCTGGTGCGGCAGTGGGCTGGTTCTCTGGCAGCAGGAAATCAAGTGCAGATCGTGGCTTCCAACCAAGAAGTAGCTGGTTGGGAGTCACACCGGTAGTGTTGTGCACAACATTGTTGTACGGGCTGGAGATGAGAGGTAACTTCTCATCCCAGTCTTCCTGGATGGGCTTAATATAATGCCTCAGCAAATGTTGCACTACCCGATTCATCTGCTCTGCCTGACTGTTCGACTCATGATGACTGCCTGAAGTCATTTGCAGCTGGGTCCCCATCTGCTGGGCCGTACTTTGCCACAGTTCGCTAGTAACCTGACATCCCTATCACTGACAACGGACTTCGGAAGACCAAAGTCACACACCCAGTTACCCATAAACAGTTTTATTACATGGTCAATGTTAGGCCAGTCGCTGAACCCGAT